TGGGTTTGGTTGTTTGCTTAAGATGAAGAATTGTTGGGTTCAATATTGAATTTATTGTTTGATTGAATTGATTGTGTGAATGAAGGATATTGAATTGATTATTTGATTGAATTGATTGTGTGAATGAAAGAAGTTTCGAGAAAGAAGATGCTGGAGGAAGAAGATGATGAAAAATTGTAATTTGGTGGGTTCCACTTTTGTTTTTGCGTCGGGTATGACCATGTCATCATTTATCCACGTGTACAGTTGATGTGGCTTAAATTTTTGATATATCTGTGAGTTAACGGACGATTTTTAATGGAAGGACCAAATCGGGGTAAAAATGGTAAATAGTAGGGATTAAATTAGGGATTTTTTTAGTTCAGGGACTAAATTAGGGGTCCGTACAATAGTTCAGGGACCAAAAAGGGGTTTTAACCTAAATAAATCAACAGACAAAATTATAACATCCAGTGGGGCCCACTTGATTAGATTAAAACTTGAAAGTACAAAAACTCTGACTCAGGTTTTACTTTTTAAGCACTACTAAATGCAATCGCTTCTGGCCACTCGCCCTAACACTCGCGCCTCTCGTTTTGCCACATTGTCTTCAAGTGGTAGCGTTTTAATTCCAAAATCGAGAACCGGTAAATCGCTTGCGGTTTACTAATTTTTTGTTTATCCTTTTTTTGTCTCTCTCCATTTTCCTTGACCGTCCCATCAAATATCCTCTTCCCTTCCCTGCTTTTCTCCCCTTGGCTCTGTTATCTTTTATTATTATTATCATTATTATTCTTCTTATTATTAAGAAAAAAGGCTACCGTTTATTTATTTTTCTAATCTCAGCGTTTGATTCAGTCATTCCCCATAAATTTTTCTTGCCCTGAGAATCCAAAGGGATAGAAATAAAAAAAATGGACAGTATTAATGAGAATTTTAGTGCAGTGATATAAAGATAATTTTTTTATAATATTTTTATGTAATTTTTATATTAAATGAATTTAATATCATAAATTGTAAATAAATAAAAAAATCAATAATTTAAATAATATATAAAATTATACTAAAAAATAATGCAAAAAATTATTTTTGAATCATTTTTCTAAATTCAATGTCCAGGTGCTTCAACTTGTGCCGAGGAAGATCTCATGCCTAAATGTTGGGTAGGGTTTTGGGCTACCACTTTAAAGTGTGAAGGCCACAAAAAATCGTAAAATATTGTTTTTTTCAATTTTATTTTTATTTAATTTGATTAATAAAAATAATTGATAAGCGTAAGTATTAATTAAGAATTGATAGAATAATTAATATTAATTAGTTAATAAATTAAAATTAGTTAACAAACTGATATTTTTAAATTTTATTTTAAAAAATAAAAAAAAAATTTAATACTTTTTAATTTGACAATATTCACACACGTAAATATCTATCCAGTAAAGTTTTCTCTATTTCTTTGCCAATTTTCACTATCTAATTGGTCATTCTAGATACAAAATTTTTAAAGAGGTAAGTCTTTTACCCTTTCCGTTTGATTTGTCAAATAAACTTATTCTATAATGTAAATATAGTATAAGAAAAATATATATTAGTCTTAATTCTTAAAAAAA